TGAATAATAATAATATCTTAAGTGTTGTGAATATATCAAATACGTACATTATCAGGGAGTCAGGCGTGTTAATAATAATAAAAAATCTGTTATAAAAATATCAAATAAGTGCATTATCAGGGAGCAATTGACATTATTATTATCCACCTACTTGTGTTAATAGAAAAAAAAATAAGTGTTATGAAAATATCAAATAAGTGCATTATCAGGGAACAATTACCATTATTATCATCCACTTAATTGTTACAAAATCGTCTTAATAAAATAAATAAAGTGCTATAATATCGAATAAGTGAACTTTCCACGAAACATTTGTTATAACCGGATTAGTTTTACATAATAGGTGTTATCTTAATGTTATCCCGACTTCCAGATAACATTTGATAATCATAGGTTAATATAAGTAATATAAGGTCACATAGAGTATGTTTTGGTATTTAACATAAGTAATATAATATAATTTGGTATTTAATATAAGTAATAATAATATAATTTGGTATTTAATATAAGTCATAATAATATAAATTTGGTATTTAATATAAGTAATAATAATATAATTTGGTATTTAATATAAGTAATATAAGGTCACGTAGAGTAGATTTTGGTATTTAACAGTACCTTTCGTTTCCAGGTAGCTTGTGAGACGTGTACAAAGACTGGTATGATCACGTAGAGTATATTTTGGTATTTAACAGTACCTTTTATTTCCAGGTAGCTTGTGAGACGTGTACAAAGACTGGTATGATCCTGGTATGTGGAGAAATTACGTCCAAAGCACACGTTGATTACCAGAAAGTCGTTCGAGAGACAATTAAGGAGATTGGCTATGATGATTCCAACAAGGGTGGGTGCTGTACCTAATAGTACTTGTAACGTTAGTAGGTACTTCATTGCTGTTATCATCATCACCATTACCATCGTCATCACCATTACCATTGTCATCACCATTACCATCGTCATCACCATCATCATTCATCGTCATAACCATCATCATTTCATCACCATTACCATCGTCGTCATTACCATTACCATCGTCATCACCATTACCGTCGTCATCACCATTACCATTGTCATCACCATTATCATCGTCATCACCATCATCATTACCATCGTCATAACCATCATCATTGTCATCACCATTACCATCGTCTCATTACCATTACCATCGTCATCACCATTATCGTCGTCATCACCATCACAATTGTCATCATCATTGTCATCACCATTACCATCATCACCATCATCGCCATCACCATCATCTATCATCATCACCATCGTCATTATCACCATCACCATCATCAGTATCAGTATGATCAATGCAAATAATTTAGTTTGGTCGCTATGATTTTATCTTTGTTCCTGATATTACAATTCAATAATTATCATTATATATATATTATTACATTCCCATTGTCTGAGTGTCTATTTAACGTTTTTTAATTGTTTCTCATTATTTTTACGTTTGTCAGTTTCATTGTCTGTCTGTCTGTCTCTTCTCTCTCTCTTTCTCTGTCTGTCTCTCTCTCTCTTTCTCTGTCTCTGCCTTTGTCTCTCTCTCTCTCTCTCTCTCTCTCTCTCTCTCTCTCTCTCTCTCTCTCTCTCTCTCTCTCTCTCTCTCTCTCTCTCTCTCTCTCTCTCTCTCTCCCTCTCAGAAATAACGTGTCAAAAATAACCCAACAAAGAGTACATTTTAAGATCCCAAAATTGACATCGTTGCCATCTCCTCATTCAGGTTTCGACTTCACAACATGTAACCTCCTGGTCGCCATTGAACAACAGTCACCCAACATCGCCGGAGGTGTTCACGTCGACAGAGCTGAGGAGGATGTTGGTGCCGGTGACCAGGTACGACAAGTCAGCAATAATAATAATGAACTGGGCTTGGGTAGCGGATGTGTGTGCTGTGTTGCCATTCAAGCGATTTTCTCGCTAGATATTTTTGTTTTGTTTTTGTTAGGGTTTTCTCGCTAGATATAGTTTTTTTTTGGTTGTTGATTTTCCGCTAGATCTAAGAGTTTTTGAGTTATGATCTGGGGAATCTTTCAAAGTTTACTCCAGATTTTTTTTTGCGATTTTGAAGTCCTTTTTAGAGATTACTTTTATGTCTAGCGAGTTGCAGTCTAGCGGTTTTGTGGAAATATCAGTGGCAACACTGGCTGGGGCTTCGAACTGTGCTTTCATTCACATGCATTTTATTTTTTATTTATTTTTCAGCGATTAATTGGGGGTAAATTCTGGGATGAAGGCTATTTACTTTACGGTAACATATTGGAAGTCAATGTAGATGTGGTTGTGTGATTCTAAAGGTGAATTATATGATCATATTCATTGTCGATATGATACAGATCAGATACATCGATGCCTTCCTTTGTTTCGTGTTTCCCTTTCGTGTATGCATGTTTCGTGAACTTTGACAAATCTCGGCTTTTTGTTTGTGTGTGAGTGTGTGCTTACGTCTCTTCACAGCCTATGGGTTTTTGTCTCACAGAATTGGGGTACAAGACTTTGCAGTATTGGCCCAGGAGCTTGTGCTTGGCTGTACACGGGAAACTCACCGACTCCGATTCAGTAGGGACAGAGGACCAGGTGACAGGTGAACACACCATGCATGCTGTTCAGTAGCTGGTTCGAACATGTTGCCTCCTGTTGCTAATCTGATTTGGTGATCTGTGTGATTGCATTGTCTGAGCGTCTATTTAATGTTTTTTTTTTATTGTTTCTTATTATTTTTACGTTTCTCAGTTTCATTGTCTGTCTGTCTGTCTCTGTGTCTGTGTCTGTCAGTCTTCTGTCTCTTTCTCTCTCTCTCACCCACTCTCTCTCTCTCTCTCTCTCTCTCTCTCTCTCTCTCTCTCTCTCTCTCTCTCTCTCTCTCTCTCTCTCTCTCTCTCTCTCTCTCTCTCTCTCTCTCTCCCTCTCCCTCATCTCTCTCTCTCTTCTCTCTCTCTCCTCTCTCTTCTCTCTCTCTCTCTCTCTCTCTCTCTCTCTCTCTCTCTCTCTCCCTCCCTCTCCCTCTCTTTCTCTCTTTCTCTTTCCCTCTCCCTCCCCCTTCTTGCTCTTACTTAATATAACTAATACTAATTTTATTGAAGTAGCTTAATAACCGCACCGATATAAAGCTTAACAAAGTAATTTAATGCCTTGATTAACCTGTATGGAAATAATTTATTAGTGTCAACAATAACCCTTATTCATTTTTTTTTTTAATCCCTGTCTCATGCTTTATGGCTCTACAGTGTGTAAATTTATATGTATGTATTCATCTATGTATGCATGAATGTATAATGTAAACAATCACAGGTTGTATATGTTTACCCATCGAGATTGGGAATTTAAATGCCGTTTAAGTTTATCTGTGTTTAAAACTTAACACTACACATTCTATCTTTAAGTGTAAATTAATGTAATATAATGTTACTTTTTTCAATATATATGAAACTCAAGTTCTAACTTCGAAGCGAATTTTAAAGAGTATTAGTTTTGCGTCAAAGTAACTTCAAGAAATACCATTTTTTAGTCCGACGAAATAGTCAGATTATACGGATTTTTCTTCAGAATAACAACTTGAATATGTATGAGTTATAATATAGTCCGAATAATTTCAAAACATTCCCCCTTTTCCCCAAAAAAAACAACAACAAAAACACCAATTTCAACCAATCAGAACCAAACGCAAATACACATAGCACCTTTTCCTCAAAAAACATACACACCAGTACCCACTACCGACCACTACCATACCCACTACCGATACCATACCACCACTCGAAACCATACCACACCATACCCAGTACCCACTACCGACCACCATACCATACCAGTACCCACTACCGAAACCATACCATACCATACCCACTACCCACTACCCGACCCACTACCGAAACCATACCACACCATACCCAGTACCCAAGAGCTTCCATACCCTCTCCACAGGGCCTCATGTTTGGCTATGCCTCCGACGAGACCAAGGAATGCATGCCCCTAACAGTCGTGCTCGCCCATCGCCTCAACGAGAAAATTGCCCAACTGCGACGAAACGGGACCTTCTGGTGGGCGAGACCGGACAGCAAGACCCAGATCACAGCCGAATATTTCTTTGAGTGAGTTGGGATTTTTTTTTTTTTTTTTTTGGGGGGGGGTGTTTTTATGTTAGTGTTAGGGGTTGTGTTTTTTTTTTTTTGGGGGGGTGTTTTTTTTATGTAGTGTTGGGGGGTTGGTATTGTTTATTTTAGGTTTTCTCTTTTCTCTCTCTCTCTATCTTAACTTGTAACAGGTGAGAAGTATTACAGTAGGGTTGATTTTTTTTTTTTTGCCTGCGTGTTCACTCTCTCTCTCTCTCTCTCTCTCTCTCTCTCTCTCTCTCTCTCTCTCTCTCTCTCTCTCTCTCTCTCTCTCTCTCTCTCTCTCTCTCTCCTCTCTCTCTCTCCTCCCCCCTTCCTCCTCATTCTTTCTTTTAATATATCTCCCTCCCACCTGCCTTCCTTTTTAACGTAAAATATACATTCATATATACGAATTTTTATATTCCTATATATACAAAATTTCCCTCTGATTTAAACCCCACTCCTTTTCCACTTTTTTTTTTCTTGTTTGTCTTCTTTTTCCATTAAACTGTCACTAATTCATAGATATAGATTGGAAGAATTCCTTTTATTTGCCTACGAACAAAAAGACGGTATTTCGCAACATTTTTTTTAACATTCCAGAAAGTAATTCTTAACGTAACAAATCCATATAATTCTCTTAGCCCAGGCGGACATACGTAAAACCACTTTATCCTTCTATCAATTTAAACAGCATCTCAAAGCTGACTTTTTTCTTCACAGTGTCTCATAGCATAACATATTGACCATCAAAACACCATCCTTTATTACATTACTGAACACACATCCTTTATTACTATTTATTAACGAACACCACCACCATCCGAACACCATCCCACCATTAACCGAACCAGTATTCACAACGAGCTCCACTTCCGCAGCAACGGGTCCGCCATC